TTTGAAGGTGGTTCCGTCTACTCTAATAATGGGTTAAGAAAGTGTTAATGGATACCTGGTTAGCAAGTGACGCAGACGAGATCAGAGGGGACCGAGAGAAACAACTCCAGAAATGAGTCGATTACGGATTATTGGGTCACAATACTTGTGAAAGTATGTACCGGACTGAATTGTACTCCACGGATCCTGCTTTGAGCCTGGTTCCGTGACCTTGTGATATTGGGTCTAGAAAGAGTATACAGCTACACGTTCAGCGTGCGCCATAGACGAGAACGGAGGGGATTGAGAAAAAGAATTCGTGAAATGAGTCGATTACGGAATATTGGGTCACAAAACTTGTGAATGTATGTACCGGACGGAGTTGTATTCCACGGATCCTTCTTTGCTCCTGGTTCCGTCTACTGGTTAGCGTGCGATACAGCCGAGAACGGAGAGGAATGAGAGAAAACAATTCGAAAAATAAGTCGATTACGAAATATTGGGTCAGAATACTTGTGAAAGTATGTATCGGACTAAATTGTGTTCCACCGGTCTTTCTTTGGTGCTGGTTCCGTGTGCTCGTAATAATGGGTTAGGAAAGTGTGAACAGCTACCTGGTTAGCGTGTGCCACAGACGAGGTCGGAGGGGAATGAAAATAACAATTCCAGAAATAAGTCGATTGCAGATTATTGGGTCAGAATACTTGTGAAGGTATGTATCGGACTAAATTGTGTTCCACCGGTCTTTCTTTGGTGCTGGTTCCGTGTGCTCGTAATAATGGGTTACGAAAGTGTAAATAGCTACCTGGTTAGCGTGCCGCACAGACGAGATCGGAGAGAATGAAGAGAAACAATTCAAGAAATGAATCGATTAAGCAATATTGGGTCAGAATACTTGCGAAAGTATGGACCGGATTGAATTGCATTCCACGGATTCTTCTTTGATGCTGCTTTCGTGTGCTGGTAATAATGGGTTAAGAAAGTGTACACAGCTACCTGCTTAGTTTGCGCCACCGACGAGAACGGAGGGGATTGAGTGAAAATAATTCGAGAAACAAGTCGATTACGGATTATTGGGTCACAATACTTGTGAAAGTATATACGGGATTGAATTGTATTCCACGGATCGTGCTTTGAGGATCGTTCCGTGTACTTGTGATATTGGGTTAAGAAAGAGTATACAGCTACCTGGTCAGCGTGCGCCACAGACGAGATCGGAGGGAACGGAGAGAAACGATTCCAGAAATGAGTGGATTACGGAATATTGGGTCACAATACTTATGAAAGTATGTACCGGACTGAATTGTGTTCCACGGATGCTGCTTTGATGCTGGTTCCGTGTACTTGTGATATGGGGTTAACAAAGTGTACACAGCTATCTGATTAGCGTGCGCGACAGACGAGTCCGACAGATAGTTTTTAAGTCGTGTTTCAATGGACCGGGAAACACGAGAGCGGAGCCATTAAGTGACATAGGGAGAACTCATTGAATAGCAAAGTAGAACAAAACTCTCCGGGGTTTGTGAAATTTTCTGAGCTTCCCAAGATGAAAACAGGGACACCGAAAATATCCCATACAACTCTGTATTTGTGTCGAGCAGCGAACCTTATTTGCGATAGTAACATCCAGATATTTGTATGAAGTCACAATGTGAAATAGTCATAATCAATGGTTACACAACCGACGGGAATCTAGGCCGGAAAAGTATGCAACGAAAGAATACATGAACACCTACCGCAATGCTCGCTACTGGATTGGCTCCAACCCGAACTGCGGACAGCAATGAGATACACCAGGAATTAACAGCAGCAAATGCTTATGATTATGGATAGAATTAGAGCATTTTTATAGAAGGTAATAGACCATACCATTGGTTGAACAACCGTCTGATACGGCTCCGTCGGGTGTGCACCTGATTGTCTCCGTCGCTTGTCTCTTGATGCTGCTGCTCCGTGGATGAGTCGAGGTGAATTTGGTCTACGATTCGATAGTGCACAGTAGCAT